GGGCTCTCTTGGTTCAGAGCCCCCCTTTTAACCTTGGCCACCCTCTGGAAAGGCTCCTCTATGCTGGGTAAGGGTCCTACAGCCGTTTTCCCCTTGTCCCAGGCCTTCCTCCCCCTCTGACAGGGGTCACAGGATCGGCAGTACTGCCGGACAGTAACAAAGACCCCAGGCCAGTAAAAGCTCCGTAGCAGCCTCTGCTGGGTATGCCAGGTTCCCTGGTGCCCTGAGAGGGGGGTGTCATGGGCCCGGTACAGCAGCTGGCGGCGATACTTCTGGGGTACCACCAGCTGCCTCCTGATCCCCCCTGACTCCATTTTCCCTGGGGGAGCCCATTCTCGGTACAGGAACCCCTTCTCCCACAGGAACCTTTTCCGGCCACCTCTCCCCATGGTCTGTACCGCACCGAGGTCGGCCAGGTCCCTCATCTTCCGCAAGGAGGGATCTTTCTGCACCTTGGCCTGGAACTCAGCAGCTGGGACAGGGATGGCCACCTGCTCTTTCTCGCCGGCTGGGTCTGAAGCCGCAGCCTCCCTGAGCCGTGTCCCTGGGCGTTCCCTCCCCACCAGGTTAGGGTCCTGCGCCTCAGGCAAGGCACCCTCCCCAAGGTCAGGGCGCAGTGCTCCTCGCCGGCTCTGACTGCAGGTCACAACCAGTGCACTTTGGGGGTTGCTTGGCCAGTCCTCCAGGTCCCCCCCCATCAACACCTCAGTGGGCAAATACGGGTGTACTCCCACGTCCTTGGGGCCCTCCTTGGCCCCCCACTTCAGGTTTACCCTCGCCACGGGCACTTTGACTGGAGTCCCGCCCACCCCCTTCAGGGTCAGGTAGGTGTCAGGCACCACCCGATCTGGGGCCACCACCTTGGGCCGGGCCAGCGTCACCTCTGCGCCTGTATCCCAGTATCCATTGACCTTCCTCCCATCCACCTCCAGGGGAACAAGGTACTCGCTCCGCAGGGACAGCCCCGCGCCCACCGTATAAACCAAAAACCCTGAGTCTGGAGCATCCAGCCCCCCAGAGGAGCTGGCCTGGAGCTCTCCTCCCTCCTTAGCAGGTGGTACTCTGCCAGCCCCCCGGCCTGGGAATGCTGCCCCTCGTCCAACTGGGTCTCTACCCAGTCAACCCTTTGTGGGTTGGGTCCGCTCAGTCTGTCCCTGAGTCTGAGGCACTAGGCCTGAATGTGGCCCCTTTGGCCACAGTGATAGCAGCCCATGTCCCGTGGGTCCCCTCGAGCGGGTCGGATGGACCTGACGCTGGATGTTCCCCTTTGGTGGGGGTTCTCCATATTTCCCTGCTGGGAGGTCCCATGGTGACTCTCTCTCTGCGTTGTGGCTGGCCTGTTTTTTTGGGACTCCCCCCCGTTATTCCCTGCCCGACTGTTCACAAACTTGTCGGCCAGCTGGCCTGCGTGCTGCGGGTTCTCTGGCTTTTGGTCCATCAACCATCGCCTCAGGTCGGATGGGCACTGCTCATACACGTGCTCCAGTACGAATAGGTCAAGCAGGTCCTCTATAGTTTGGGCCCCAGCTGTCCACTTGCGGGCATACCCCTGCGCCCGGTTGGCTAGTTGTAGGTATGTGACCTCATGGGTTTTACGCTGACTCCGGAACCTTTCCCGGTACATCTCAGGGGTCAGCCCAAACTCGCGGAGCAGGGCCTCTTTGAACAGTTCGTAGTCCCCTGTCTCCCCCGCTCTCAGTCGGCTGTACACCTCCCTGGCTGTGGGGTCCAGTGAGGGAATGAGAAACTGGAGCCTGTCTGCAGGGTCAACCTGGAGCAGCTCGCAGGTATTCTCAAAGGCCGTCAGGAAGGTATCCATGTCCTCCTCCTCCTTACGCTGGGCCAGGAAGCACTTATCAAAGCTCTTTGCAGTCCTGGGTCCCCCCTCACTCACCCCAGCCGGGGCCCCACTGCTCCTCAGCCTGGCCAGCTCCAGCTCATGCTGACGCTGGTCCCGCTCATGCTGACGTTGTTTCTCCTTCTCTTCCCGCTCCTGCTTCAGTTCTTGCTTCCTTAACTCAAGCTCTTCCCGTCTCATCTCCCATTCACATTCCAGCCGCATCCGCTCCTGGGACGGGGAGCTCTGCCGGGACGATCCCCTGCTGGCCGCCGGGGTCAGGGTGCCCTCGGTATTCGCTGGGCTTCCCCCAACCCCTCCCCTGGGTATAGGTAGGCAGGGTCTCGGGATGTCCTCGGCAGCAGTCGGACCCCTCCCAGCCATGTCAAGCCCCGGGGCCCACGCTGCATCCGCCGGGCGGCTTCCCTCAGGCACAGGGCTCGGTTCATCCAAGCGATCCCTCTCCTCCAGCCGGGCAATGAGCTGTTCTTTGGTGGACCTCCCAATGCGCAGCCCCCTCTGCCTGCATAGCTCCACCAGGTCGCTCTTAAGGTGTTTAGCAAACATCCTCCTGCTGGCCACTCGCCGGCCTGTGCTCTCCGCTTTCCACCGTTCCAGGGGGACCCCTAGTGTGCCAGCCCTTCTTCAGGTCACCACCTCTCTGCCAGGGTCGAGCTGCAGACTCCTCCGCCCCGGGACCGCTCGCTGCGATCCCCCAGGGGACCCTGTTACTGCAAAAGTCCTTCTCACTGGTCACACACTCCCAGGGGTTAATCGCCCCCTGAAACCGTCTCTCTCTGACTCTTCAGCCCACCTGGTCCCATCGGTCCCCCTTCGTTTTACTGCTCCCCAGTCACTTACTGGAGGAAGCGCCGTCCACAGGGTGCAGTAGATCCCACCTCTGCCACCAGTTGTCACAGAGTGTGGGGGGACTCAGGGCCCTGCACCCCCGACTTCCTGCAATTCACCATGACTCTCAGCCAGCCAGTAAAGCAGAAGGTTTATTTAGACAACAGGAACACAGTCCAAGACAGGTCTTGCAGGCACAGACAACACGATCCCCCCCAGTTAGGTCCATCTTGGGGTCCCAGGGCCCCACAGCCCCCTTGGGAGGTCAGAGCCCCGTCTGCCTCCCAGCCATATCACCAGCCAGCTCCTGCAAACCCTCCCTTCAGCGACCCCTCCCACAGCCTTTGTTCAGTTTCCCGGGCAAAGGTGTCACCTGGCCCCAGCCCCCTCCTGGGTTCTCACGTTACATGCTCAGGTATTCTCCATAGGTCAGTCTCCCATCCCCCAATGCAGACCATCCTAGCCACACTCCCCTGCCTTCCCAGCCAACACTCCCCACTCAGCATTCAAAGACCACATTAAGAAGTCCCAGTTCATCACAGGCGGCCTTCGGTGGCTTGCCTGCAGGAGGTCCGCCGGTCCCGCGGCTTTGGCAGCAATTCGGCGGCGGGTACGCCGAAGCCGCGGGACCTGCGGATCTCCCGCAGGTGCGCTGCCGAAGGCCCCCTGCCTGCCATGCTTGGGGCGGCAAAAAAGCTAGAGCCGCCCCTGAAGTCTTGGTGCAGTTTTCTGTTTTTATTTGTACATTCAGGCAGTTGAAGGGATCCCTCATTACAGGTTTTCCATAGAAGCCAAACTGCGGCTGATTCCTTTCTCATTGGAGTTGAGGATTTACACATCAATAAGTCCCTAGGCAATGTGTCTTCTAGGTCTGAAATTGTATAGACATCAGCTAGCGCTTGATCAGACCAAGGGCTGGGGGACAATGTCGATAAATCTCTGCGTTAAGCATCTGCACAGAACTTTCACATGACTTTGTATTATGCCTCTATTTTCATACCACTTTGTATCAGATCCTTATCTAGAAAACTTTGAACTGAGCCTTGGGATAATGTTCAAAACATGGCTTTTTGCTCGGAGGAGAATAAGATCCCCCCCGTCCTCGTTAATCACTTGCCTGTTGGCTGAGCGAGGGGCGGCTGAGGAAGGCGGGAGGCAGCACCTCCAGACAGCGGCACCCCTGGGGGAGGGGCTGGAGCCAGACCCCAGGACAAGAACACGGGGCCCCGGGGGCTCACTGAAGCTCAGACATGTTGGCGGCCTCGGGGGTTAGGAGCGAGCAGAACAGCAGCGGGCCCCCCCCGGAGAGACGCAGCACAAAGGCCCAACGGCCACACACAGATTTTGCGGCTGGTGCAGATTTGCGGGAGCGGGAAGCGGCGATAAACGGGAGGTGTCGGGCAAAGGCCCCCGGTCTCGTCTTGTCAACACGGGAGCGACGATCCGGCTCCACCCCCCCCCCAACAAACTCACCTGCCAGTGACGTTATGGGGAGCAACTAATGGGGGACAACAACAAGCCGGAGTGTGTGTGTGCATGAGATCATGTGTGTGCGCGCGAGAGAGAGCGTGTGAGAGAGCGTGTGTGTGTGTGTGTGTGTGATATGTCTCATATGCAGGTGATACCGTGTGGATTGATAAGTGTGTTACCAATCAGCCCCGCCCCCACCTGCCCTAGGCCCCACCCCTCCAGGCACAGAACCGCCCCCCTCAGCCCCGCCCCCACCTGCCCTAGGCCCTGCCCCCAGGCACAGAACCGCCCCCCTCAGCCCCGCCCCCACCTGCCCTCGGCCCCACCCCTCCGGGCACAGAACCACCCCCTCAGCCCCGCCCCCATCCCTGTACAATGCATGGCAGCCCCACAGCATGCGCTCCCTCATGTGCCCGGCCCTCGTGCGATGCACGCCGGGAGCCCGGTCGGCGCCGCAGGGCATTGTGGGAAGTGGGCTCCCAAGGGGCACCGGGGGCCGATATGGGACCTGACGCGTTCTCTCAGCCGGGGGCCGGCGGCGGTCGCGGGGGGGGGCAGCGAAAGGGGTTGCGGGAGACGGAATCCTCTGGGGAGGGCCCAGAACCGCCCCACAACTACAGCTCCCATACGGCCATGTGGGCAGAACCCGCTGCCCCCCATGAGCCTCCGTGCCCCAGCCTGGCCCTTCCACAAAGCACTGTGGGCAATGTAGTCCCGCACCCCCAGGGCTATGGGGGGGTACTGCTGTGGGAAGCTCACGGCGCAGAGCCCCTCCACTGCTCTGGGGGCAAAGGCGGGGAGGGGCCCCGGGGGGGGTGTCAGTGACCCAGAGGCGCCTGGTTCGTTCTGTGCAATGGTTTATTTCAGGGGACCCCCCAACCTCGGCCCCCCCCGACCCCCAACAACCGGCCCAGCCCCAGCGAGCCCGGCCCCGGGGGGCCCTGACCCGCAGCTCGGAAACTGCGGCGTGAGAATCGCTGCGTGAGCCACCGGGGAGGGGCCAGCTGGGGGGCCGCGGGCCCCGCTGCCCCCTCAGAGCCGGGTGTGGAAACGCAGGTCGCTCCCCTCCATCCGCCGGGCCCATTCGGTGTCGAACCGCTCACTCTGCGCCACCGTGAACTGGGTCGTCCAGTCGCCCACCGTGCCTGGGGGGAGAGCCCCCAGGTGCCGGGGCTCAGAGCGATGTGCCCCCCCCCCCCAAGCTGGGAGAGAACCCAGGCGTCCGGGCTCATAGCAACCCCACCCCCCCTGAGCTGGGAGAGAACCTAGGCATCCGGGCTCATAGCAATCCCTCCCCAGGGGCGGCTCCAGGCACCAGCGCAGCAATCGCGTGCCTGGGGGGGGAAGCCGCGGGGGGCGCCATGTCTGTGGGAGCTCCACCAGTCCCGCAGCTTCTGTGGCAATTAGCAAGCGGGGACGCCGATGGCGCGGCGCCAGCGGATCCCCCACAGGCGCGCCACCGAAAGCCGCCTGACAGCCGTGCTTGGGGCGGCAAAATACATAGAGTTGCCTCTGCACCGGCCCCAAGCCCCCCCCCCCCCGAGCTGGGAGAGAACCCAGGCGTCCGGGCTCCTAGTCCCCACCTTTGCGCATGAAGGGGGACACTGCATGGTCCAGGATGAAGGGGGGCAGCGTGCTATAGTTGGCCATGGGGTTCTCCCTCATGCTCTCGAACGACGTGTGCTCGACGATCGTCTCCAGAACCGGCTCCAGCAACTCCCGGCCCAGGAACCGACCCACCTTCTGGATCTCACCTCTGGGGTCCTGGCGGAGAGACACAGGGCACTGCCGGGGGGAAGCTCGTGGCAGAGGGGGAGCCCGGCCGGGGGCACTGCCGGGGGGAAGCTCGTGGCACTCACCTTGTGGATCTCCTCGTAGAAGAGGTAGAGGATTCGGTGCTTGTTCCTCGCGTCCCACCAGGCGCGGACGTGGTCGAACCAGGAGCCCCAAGGCACTGTCAGAGAGGGGGGGTCAGGCTGGGCTGGGGGGCCCAGGGCGGGAAGGGGGG